ACGGGCCGGACCTGGGCACCATGGTAAAGAGGGTCATTTGGATCCTTTGCATTTGCTCCTGCCAAAGCAACAAGAGCAAAACCACATACAGCCTTGAAACAATCACACAAGTGTATTATTGAGCAAGTTATGTGAAATGGTCACACATCTAATAGGTCGGAAGGAAGACATTTTTATTATCGTTTGTTATCCGATTGGATCCCATGGGTCCCATGGTGCACTGTGCCTAAGAACATCATGGGACCTATGTCCATGTGTTTAAGATTCGAAGCTTGATGGCTGCGTGAGTGGTGAGTGTGAGTGTGTCTGTACTGGTCAAGATCGGCTACTGGCATGTGCGTTGCTTGTGACAGATGTGGCACAAAAGGATGGTCTGAGCACAGTGAAGGACCCAAAGTTGATAGTTTGTGGAAGTGTGAGTGGCGGCCAAATGGCGGAGTGGCCCGAATTTTATGATAGAAAAAATGCAAAGGCTCTTTTCCAAGCCAGGTAAGGTCACAATATCCAGGCTCCAAACAAAATGATCAAACAAGATGTCCAATGCTGTTGGCCAAGTGCTTCAGGATTGCTGCTGACAAGGACGATTTCCTGAGAAGAGAAGAGATAGAACTGCAGTCTAAGAGAAGGCGACCAGTCTCATGTTCACTCACTGTCTTTTTAGGTTCAACTCATGTTTGGTTATTGATCGCCGGTTTTTGAACTCCTGAAGTCTTGTCTCCGCTCACTGAGTTTCCGGATCTTTTCTCATTTGATTGTACCAGATTCTCTCTTGTCGAATCGTTTCACCTTCTGTTCCTTTTTGTTCACTATTCTTGTGTCTGCTCCATTCTCACAATATGCCCTACTCCAGGACATTGCTGATAGGTGCTCCCATTGTAGAAACAAATTATACCAGCATAGACCCCAAACAGTTTCAAAACGATTCGCTTGGACCAATGTTAATCAAAATCGATTTCTTGGTACGCCCTACCTTCCCCCCCAAGAGCAAACTGCTTTATCATTTATCAACCTTTATCAATGATTTTTGTCGGCATCACAGAGCCCGGCCACAGAGTTCGGGGCGCGGTCAATCAATGTGTCCAGGGCTGGTCAGCGCGGCCAGAGGACAAGAGAAGGAGAAGAGGAGGACAACAGCAGGACAAGAGGAGGACAAGACCCGGCCACAGAGCCCGGCCACAGAGTTCAGGGGTGCGGCCAGTCAGTGTGACCAGCTCTTTGCTTCTAAGATAGAACCCCAACAGTAAACTGTTTGGGGAAATATATTTCTTTTTATTATTATATCACTTTCAGCAAGATGCACAAACGAGCCAGACTGTCCACATCACTTCTGGCAGCCTTCCGACAAAAAGGAAACACTTGCAACATTAGGCTAAATGCTCAGGCTGTGCTTGGGGTGCAACCTCAGCCTCCAGTTCATCGTCTTGTTCAGCCAGGTAGTTCTGCAATCGTTCAACCTGGAAAACAAAAGGGTTTGGCGTTTCTTGACTTGTCTGCTCATGACACCAGGTCGTGCCTCTAGGTTGGCGGCAGCGACCTCCGCCTGCCAAACTCAGCTCCAACATACTGATGCCGACCATCTGCTTGACAGGTTCAATTTTAGAAGGTTCGGCCTCTTGCTGTTTCTTGCTAGTCAACGTTTCTTGGACAGAACTCCCAAATGCAAGGATTAAGGATGACCCATGTGCACCCTGTGTTCTTTTACTAAATAAACCTGTGTCTCAAAGCTTCTACTCAAAAGGCACCCACCTCACGTCTTTCCAACTGTGCTAGTTCTGCCTTGGTTTGTCTGAAGCATCTTGCTACCAGCATGCAGATTGGTCAGACGGGTGCTTATCCGGCATCATCATATGTAAAGCGTGCTCTGAATTCCATGAATAAATATGCCAATCAACTGAATTACGTACCTGGCACATTGTAGGTCTCATTTGTAACTCAGAACGTTTCTCATCGAGAGAGGGCCTTGTAAAATTGCATCGTCTCAGTTCTTTTCATCTGTAATTATAGCATAGCCATTTTGAGACATGCACCAAAACACCTTCATTCAGAGATGCAAGGGCAGTAGGGCTTGTGAAGCTAAGGCTCTTGAAGCCTTGAACTTTTTGCTTCCAACCTTAGACACACAATTCAAGCTGCAAATGTCCAAAATGCTGAGGCAACTGGGATAGTAGCAGTTCCAGGTTGCCTTGCCTCAAAAGTATCGACACGTTGGCTGTGAGACGTGACGTGACATAATAATTTCTTAGTATGATATACAGCTGTGTTTACCTGTGAAAATGCTCAGCTGATTCAACTGATTCGTAGCAAGCTACCTGTGAAAAAATGCTAAAACCTTGGCTGAAGAAGCAAAGATGTTCAATCGATTGTCTGTCTGTGCAGTCTCAGTACCCAACCGAAACTTGAGCGACTCGCTACCAAATTTCATCTTAAAAACTCCATTGAAGCCAATCTGCAAAAATGATTCACAAAAAGGAAAAGACACGGAAAAATAGTCAGGCGTCAGGATAGTTTTTCGAAGTACAGCTGACAAATCTCAAGAAGTGCCTTCCGATGCACTTGGAAAGGGTACCCCACAGCTTTAAAAAGCTGATGAAGTGGAGCCTAATCAACAAGCAAGTGGAGCAAAGCAGCGAGTCATCTTTGCGCGGAAATTCCAATAGGCCTTGTATTGTGCATTCTTAGCAGAAGCAGTCAACCACAAATACTCCTGCAAAGAGGCTTCAAGCTGGCTAGTGAGACTCCTGTTTCTCACACTTAAGACCAGTTCTAAATATTCCTGCACCACCCGTTTGTCCAGGAAGGGATAGCGCCTGAGGTTGAAACGCCTCTTTGGTCGAAGAATTCAGAAAGCCACAAACCAAGCCGACAAGGCTCAGTTTCAGACCCTTCAATTCCGTGAGCTCCAGCAATTAGCTCCTCAACTCTGACGCCTTTGCAACTGAGCTTGCAAGCTGACCATGAAAGAAACATGTAGCATGTCCTCCCACATCAAGTGCTTTCTCTGCGTTCTGGCACAGTTCAAAAAAATATTGAATGAAGCTGCAGAGTGCCGACGCATTAGCTGTATGACATTATTGATGGAAGAGAATTAAGGCTTTGGTGTAATCGAAGTACATAAATTCGTCCAAAAACGCCCGTGCTTTTATCTAGTGATAGTCTTTCAGACTTTCAGGCCTCCAAAATACTGATTATAACAATATATAACAATAGTATAATATACAGCATGATATACCAGGAAATAGAAAATATTCAATGCCTCTCCAACATGATCAGCAAGACCCTAGGAAGAATGATGTCCACGGAAAAATGCGGTTCAAGTCCTGCAAGGCAGTAACTATGCATGATGCGCATCTAGTTGTGGAGATGAGATCTCAAGTGTACACTCGCAAAATTGAAACTCGCAGTTACATGTTGCTTCTGGATTTGGGGGTAAGAATTGCATGCCGGATTATGTGGGCCATTCTTGGCCAATGTCTGTACAGCCCACTGAGCCTCTACCTAAAAAGATCGAATCGTGCTATCAACAACTCGCTTCTCAGTCTCAGGTTTGCTCGAAGCTTGCGTCGGCTCCTCTGGGAAGGCAGAAAAGCTTCTAACAGTCCTCCGGCACAGCTGGGTGGACTCGACTCCCTTTGGTATCCTTGATTTCCTTAACAATTTGAAGATTGAAACATGTTGAGTTGCCACTGAACTTTGATCAAAGTAAAAGGACTTTGAAATACATTGAACACATGGCAAAAGGCCATTGAGACTGACAATTGTACGGATTTGTCATGGTGTTCACTAATCATACGCTTTGTATTTAGCAAGTTCCAGGCCTTTTCTGCTCCCCGCGCACAAGGTCTGAAATAATTTCGTCGGCACCCAGTGACGAAAGGTACACCTTGTTCAGGTGTCTAGGGCAAGTGTGCAACATAGACAACATTTTTTGCGCACCAGAAGCTACAAATAGCAAGAAGCTACTGGGTTGGAGGCCATTGCTAGTAGGTTGGAGGCCATTACTACCAGTAGCAAGAAGCTACAAGGTTGGAGGCCATCGCTAGTAGTTGGAGACCATTACTACCAGTAGCAAGAAGCTACTAGGTTGGAGGCCATTGCTAGTAGGTTGGAGGCCATTACTACCAGTAGCAAGAAGCTACTAGGTTGGAGGCCATTGCTAGTAGGTTGGAGGCCATTACTACCAGTAGCAAGAAGCTACAAGGTTGGAGGCCATCGCTAGTAGGTTGGAGACTATTACTACCAGTAGCAAGAAGCTACTAGGTTGGAGGCCATCACTAGTAGGTTGCAGGCCATTACTACCAGTAGCAAGAAGCTACTAGGTTGGAGGCCATCGCTAGTAGTTGGAGACCATTACTACCAGTAGCAAGAAGCTACTAGGTTGGAGGC